TTTTTTTTTTTTTTGAGACAAGAGTCTTGCTGTGTTGCCCAGGCTGGAATGTTGTGGCGCAATCCTCCCTGGTGCCAGCAATTCTCCCTGCCTCAGCCTCCTGAGTAGCTGGGATAGCAGGCGCCAGCCACCACACCAGGCTAATTTTTGTATTTTTAGTAGAAACGGGATTTCGCCACGTTGGCCAGGCTGGTCTCGAACTCCTATCCTCAGGTGATCTGCTCACCTCGGCCTCTCAAAGTGTTGAGATAACAGGCATGGGCCACCACGCCTGACCAAGATTTCATTTCTTTTACTGGTCTAAGTGGCTACAAAACGTTGCAGTGAGGACTGTTTGCAGGGTTTTCATTTTCGTTTCTAACCAGTGTACCAGTCCTTTTAGAAATGCATCTCCCAAAGAAAGGACGAGAAATCTGCAGAGCAGGGAGGAGACCAGCAGAAGTCTAACTTGTGATTGTACCTGTCTGCCCTGAAGGGGAAATTGTTTTCCCAGTAATAAAAATGTGGTGGAGCCTAGAATCTTTATTCAGTTGAAGTTTCTTCCAAGAACAGCAAAGGGGGCCCTCGAGGTCTAAAACTGCTTGGGCACGTCCATGTTCACCCCTGGCCTCTGCAAGATGCAACCATGTGGCCTTGGGGAACAATAAAAGCCGAGGTGTATCAGGCCAGCCCCCTGACCATAAGCTGTGCTTATCACACCAACTGCTCCTTGTTTTCATGCTGAAAATATGCATCTCCCGGAAGCTCTTCTCTCTTGCTCAGATGTGTGTGATGTGATTTACATTATGGAATGCAGGGGGCATGTGCTCACAAGCATTCTGATTCAGGAATCAGGTTTCTATTATGTACTCCATTTGTATTGCCTTCTATGGTGACCTTAATACTTTTTTTTCTTTTTAATTTTGGACTTATTTTAGAGGAATTTATTTTCTATCAAATCCTAAACCTACAATGTTTACATAGAAAATAATTGCACTACAGTTAGCAAAATGTCCTGGGGCCTAGCTTCACAAGTCCCATTTTCCTGAGGTCAGGGGGCCCTTGGCCTTGGTACCTAGGGAGGGCACTCGTGAGTAACTGAGGCAGGAGAACATCCCCCTTGGCCTACTCTCTGGGCAGTTACCTTCTGTTGAGTGGTGTGTGGGTGAACATATATGGGATTGCAAGTTCCTCAAAGAGATAAGACAGGTCTCATGGATATATCATGGATAGATTTGCCAGAACTAGTTATATCAATACGTTGTGCTTCCTCCTGAGGCTGTGTTTGTGTTCATTGAAGCTTACTTCTCAGGCAAATGTAGGGAGTAATAAACAAGCTTTATGTTCCTGGGAGTCAGGAAGTCTAGTTAGCATGGTTTAAAGCCTTCACTTTACCACTAACCAACCAGAAGATTTTGTTATCTGCACTTTACTTTGGGAAGCCTTGGTTGGAATGAGAAGAGTCTAATAGATTTTTTTTTTTTTTTTTTTTTTTTTTTTAAGATAGAGTCTTACTCTGTCACCCAGACTGGAGCGCAGTGGCATGATCTCGACTCACTGCAACCTCTGCCTCCCAGGTTCAAGCGATTCTCCTGCCTCAGCCTCCTGAGTAGCTGGGATTACAGGCATGTGCTACCATGCTCAGCCAAATTTGTATTTTTGGTAGAGACAGGGGGTTTCAATATGTTGGCCAGGCTGGTCTCAAACTCCTGACCTCAAGTGACCCACCCGCCTTGGCCTCCCAAAGTGCTGGAACTACAGATATGAGCCACTGCACCCAGCCTAGATAGTTGAGTTTAGTTTTTTTGTTATTTTTTTCTCTGTAGGATCTCTGAGTCTTTAATACGCTAATGGGTATTATTGTAAGTTCAACGCGTGTATAATGCACCCCAAGTTAGTATGGCTATTGAATACTCCCCCACCCCAATAAAAGCCTATTATTATAACTTGAGCTATAAGTTTCTATAGAATATAATTCAAAAAACCTCTTTCTAGAAGCAGAAGTTTTCTTCCTGCTCTAAAGTTCTATGAATGTACAGAAATAATGCAGAATTACACACTTTATTGGAGATAGAAAAAGAGGTCCAGTTGATGATCATATTGTAGCAATAAGGGATTTATATTGCACATAAACGTATTCACTATAGATGGTTTAAGCAGAAGGGTATTTTTTATAACCAATTTATACCATTTAATTGAAGACCAAAAAACTAGTCTTGAATGCTACCAAGGAAAACCCAGGAAAAATGCCCAACCACATCAATTTTCCTACCAAAAACACCTCTGCTGTTGCTGCTGACTTTTTGGCTCACATGGCACTAGAAAACAGAAGTGAAAACTCCACTAAAGCACCCCTGGAAGCACTACGCATGCCACTGTGCTTGCTCAAAGCCACAATTTCCCCACGTGTGTACACTACCTCACCTTGCTTACTGCTGCTTCAAGCAGCACATTGTGGTAGGCAGAAGTCTGAGATGCTCCCCAAGATTCCTGTTCCCTGACATGTATACCCTTTACAGTACCCTCTCCTCCAATGTGAGCAGGACTTGTGAATACAGTGGGAGGTCACTCCCATAATTACATTCTACCATATGGCAAAAAAGGATTTTGAAAATATAATTAAGGTGTCCAGTTAGTTGGCTGTGAATGAATCAAGAGTGAGATTATTTTGGGTGAGCCTGACCTAATCAGGTGAGCAGTTAAAACAAAATAGAGATTCGAAGCCAACACCACTTTCCTGTTGGCTTTAAGGGAGAAAACTGCCATGTTGTAGGGGAGGGCCACGTAGCAGAAAATGGCAAGAAGCCTCTAGGAGCTGGGAATGATCCCTGATTGATAGCCAGCAAGAAAGCAAAGACTTCAGTCCTACAACCGCAGAAACGGATCTGCCAACAACCAGAAACCCTGGAAAATGATACTGATAAGACTGTAGCCCTGGCCAACATCTTTTTTTTGTTTGTTTTTGTTTTTGCTTTTTTGAGATGGAGTCTCACACTGTCGCCTGCGCTGGAGTGCAATGGTGTGATCTCAGCTCACTGCAACCTCCGCCTCCCGGGTCCAAGCAATTCTCCTGCCTCAGCCTCCTGAGTAGCTGGGACTACAGGTGCCCACCACAATGCCCAGCTAATTTTTTGTATTTTTAGTAGAGACGGGGTTTCACCATGTTGGCCAGACTAGTCTCAAACTCCTGACCTCGTGATCCGCCCACCTTGGCCTCCCAAAGTGCTGGGATTACAGGCATGAGCCACGGCACCCGGCTCATCCCTGGCCAATATCTTGATTTAAGCGTTGTGAGAGCTTGAGCAGAGGATCGGTTAATCCATGCCCATACTCCTGATTTGCAGAAACTGTGAGCCAAACAATGATGTTATTATAAGTTGCTTAATCTGAGCGTGCAGCAATAGAAAATTAATATTTGCCTTTGCATGACGGAGCCCAGTTTACTCCTCACATTCAAACTGCAAGAGCTTTGGGAGAATTACATTGCTAGCTTTCCGTTCTCTAAAATTCAATAAGAGAAGCCAGAAGTGATTGTTGTTTATATTAAGCGAGTCAATCTCTAGCGTCAGCCACCCACTTCTTTTGAAAATTATTTTTCCAAACATCTTTTACAGGCTATATGATAGGCTAAAAGATGTCATTTCATTTTTTGTTTGTTTGTGTAAAATGGCAAAGATCAACCTGTCCTGTGAATGAGTATTCAAGAAAAAGTAATTAACATTGCTATCCGCAATTTCTTTATATGTATCAACCAGTTGGGTGAACTCATGTAAATATTCCTGCTGATTTCTCTATTAAAAAATGCTTAGAGAATAGACAATTCAGTTAGAAGATTACTGCTACTCCAGGAGTGGCCGCTTTAGCAGGACTGTTACATGGAGACTTTCCATGACCTTCCACACATGTTGATAAGAATGCCTGTGGCCTCTGGTTCTCATCAGTATTGAGTATATGGATAATATTCTCATTGGTCTTCTCCTAGGGAGGCCAACAAACCATCAACAAAGTACAGCTAATAAGAGAGGAGGGATTTTTAGAAATCTTTCAGCAGAGAAGCATTAGGGCAAGTTACATTTATCTGATGATGTACTACTATTTCTCCCAGAGAGTGTGAGAGGATGGGGAGCCGACAGTGTTCCATGAAAGTCGAAAAGTTTTCTGATTCACCGCAAAGTTGAATTTGTTTTCCATATAATGAATGTGTAGCATTTGATTCTCCCCACACTAAAGTGATTCGGCTTATTTTTACATCAAGTAAAGTTTAGCCATCTCCCTTGCTTTATTAATACTCTCTAACCCAACCTCCTTTCATTTCAAAACCACCACTGGTGAGGAAGGGTAAACAATAAGAACGACATGTAAGAAATTGTGGTATCCAAAAACAAAACGAAAAGCCCCATTTGCTTTACCTCATGTGGTAATTTCCCAGACTTGTTCCTCTTGGCAGTGTTGAGCTCGGCATTTTCTCCCGGGGAGCAGAGCAACTTCTTACAAAACCTTACTTCATGGGTTTTCCCAGGTGCCTGTTATTTCCTGAACAGCACATAGGAGCAGTCCCTTAATTTTTACACTTCTGAAAGTTGGCAAAGTGCCCTCAGAAAGTCTTGTCTTATTTCAATTGATTCATTTGCAACAAACCCAGTAGGAGTCAGGACATGTATCATTATTTCCAGTTTATAAACAGCAGAAACGTCCATTTCTAGAGTTACATAACTGGCTTACACTATCATAAGCCATGACATGGAGATCAGAACCCAAGTCTTTGGAGTGTAAATGAGGCAATCTTTCCCCAGGACCCCTGTCCTCTTACCAATACATCAGTGAATGGCTAGAAATAAAAATTTAATAGGCAATGGCTTCCTGCTGTTCTCTAGTCTTGCCTACCCAAATCCTCTTCGCACTCAGAAAATGCACATGAGACACTATTGACAAAACTAAGTACAAGTTTCCAAGCATTGACCTTTGAATAGCAAGGAAAAAGAAAAAAGAAATTCCCAAGCATAAATTTGTATACTGCTTACCTCATAAGTTTTACCCTTTTTCTCCAGAACAACCATTTCTTATAGTCTGTTCCTAACACCTCCTGGCTTCCGCCTAGACTTGCCGCTGACTGCCTTTTTGTCTGAGTAAGTTGCATTTGCCCCTGAAGACTCTGCTCAGACTTTTCCCAGGCTGGTCAGGAGAGTCCTTTTCCTATCCAGTCTATTTCTCTTCTTATCACATGATTAAAATTTCTGATAAAGTGTGCACAACCCTCTATAGGATATGAGCACATTTAGGTGTCATCTTGAGTCCTCTATATTTAACTTGGTGCTGGGAATTTCAGCACTGCAATGTTTGTGGAATTAGGATGTAATAAGCAACGGTTTTATTGGCTAGGAAATAGTGGCAAACAGAGGTGAGCCTTCAGAGGTGTAACTTCCCTATCCAAACTTGCTCTGTGGGGACTGAGTGTCTAGGAAGGGGATGAGTCACCTCCTTTTACACTTTGCCATGGGTTGGTCTAGAGAGGGGAGCAAAGAGCAGAGGGAGTGAGGCCCAGGGTCCTAGGATATAAGGATATACCTGTGGAGGGTCCTAGGATATATAGAGAGGGAGCAAAGAGCAGAGGGAGTGAGGCCCAGGGTCCTAGGATATAAGGATATACCTGTGGAGGGTCCTAGGATATAAGGATATACCTGTGGAGGGTCCTAGGATATAAGGATATACCTGTGGAGTGTCCTAGGATATAAGGGTATACCTGTGGAGGGTCCTAGTATTATAAGGATATACCTGTGGAGGGTCCTAGGATATAAGGATATACCTGTGGAGGGTCCTAGGATATAAGGATATACCTGTGGGTACTGTGGTCGCCATGGAAGTACATCTTTCAAATCTTCCTTCCAGAGAACCCACAGCAGGGAAGAGAGCTGACTGACAGCCTTCCGATGTCCCACCTTTAAGCTGATTGCAGTGTTCAAGCTACTTTCCACAGGCTGCTCCCAGATAATGGCATAGTGCAGTGGAGAGAGTAGGACCAGGCCACCTCTGCCTGACACAGAACTCCTCTAATGAGAAGCTTCAGGTGTTGGAGCCCAGGGATCCGCACTGGCCTGCCAGGGACATTCTCAGAACTGCGCTGTGGTCTGAGGCTCCTCCCAACTCTGTCCTCCCTTCTTGCTCTCCTTTCTCAGACCCGCATCAGGGGCTGAAGGCCATCCCCACCTCCCCATGTTCCCTGTCCGTTTTTCCCAATAAATCTCTTGCCCATCTAATCCCATTTTGACACCTGCTTTTTAGAGGACCCAGACTGACAGAGATACTTCAAGATTTAGGGCTAAAAGTGTATTTTTTGAATGCCATTCAAAATCTGTAGACCACTATCCAAAATTTAACAATGCCCTACTTAGTGTTGAGCTGTGTAGTAGTTTAGAATTAGAGCTTAAAATACAAGACAGAAAAATAGGTTCTGCTTCTGCACATCTGTGGCACACACAGGCGAAGTGGAGGGGTAAAGGAGCCCAGGCTGGCTTGCCACTGGCGCAAGGAGGATCAGGCTGCTGTGGAATCCTGTGACAACTGGACTGTGGCCAAGTCATCGGGGTACTACATGGGTTGAGGAGCACGGAGCAGACTTCTGACAGCCACAGAATATAAATAACACAGCTGCCTCTGCCACTAATCAGCTGAGGAGAGCCACAGAGAAGAGGAGAGAGCAAGAATTAACTTATGCATCAACCCCTGAAATGGGCTAACGCTTCCATTGTTACCTTGTTTTTAAAATTTTAACTTGGTATCTTGGCTGGGTGCGGTGGCTCATGCCTGTAATCCTAGCACTTTGGGAGGCCAAGCTGGCAGATCATCTGAGGTCAGGGGTTCGAGACCAGCCTGGCCAATATGGCAAAACCCCGTCTCCACTAAAAATACAAAAATTAGCCAGGTGTGGTGTCACCTGCCTGTAATCCCAGCTACTCAGGAGGCTGAGGCAGGAGAATCATTTGAACCCAGGAGATGGAGGTTGCCATGAGCTGAGATCATGCCACTGCACTGCAGCCTGGGGGAAAGAGCGAGAATCCATCTCAAAAATATATATATATATTTATTTTTTTTAATTAGGTATTTCAAAGCACTTTATACTTTTGTTATGTTTGTGGATATTCATACCAGAAATATATGTAAATATGAGGGTTGTGACTTGGAAGCATTTTATTGTGTGGGGAAGTCTTTGAGATGCCAAACAGCAAATAGTTAATTAATGCTTTAAAAAACCTCCTTCACATGAAGACCCCAAGCTCCATGAGAATAAAGCCTCTAGTTTCTTAAAAATAGAGCACTGAGTCACCCAAACATGCTGGGCTGAGTTTCAGTTCTCTCAAAGAGTCTTCTAAGCCACACCTAAACTAAACTATCAGCCTCTCTTTGATCATGTGGGCAGGTAAATGAAGTAACAACATGTCTACATGGAGACACTTGGATAACTTACAATGTCTGGTTTACTTACCTTCGTGGTATTTCTGAGCCTAATATTAATGAGATTTATAGTTCTGCCATTCTTCAAAATAAGACAAATTTAAAGAAACAATAAAAAAAGGTTACTGAGGCCAGGCACGGTGGCTCACGCTTGTAATCCCAGCACTTCGGGAGGCTGATGCAGGAGGATCTCCTGAGATCAGGAGTTCGAGACCAGCCCGACTAACATGGAGAAACCCCATCTCTCTACTAAAATTACAAAATTAGCCTGGCGTGGTGGCACATGCCTGTAACCCCAACTACTCAGGTGGCTGAGGCAGGAGAATAGCTTGAACCTGGGAAGCGGGTGTTGTGGTGAGCTGAGATCGTGCCATTGCACTCCAGCCTGGGCAACAAGAGCAAAACTCCAACTCAGGGGGAAAAAAAAAAAAAAAAAAAAAAGGGTTACTGAGTTCCTCCAATATATCCAAAGAAAAACAAGGTATATGTGAGTCATAATGAAATGTTAGGTGATAGGAGCTTCCTAGAATTAATGCAGTGTCTTTCACCTTTATTTAGTTCATTGAATAACATAAAAGAGAATAAGTCAGAGCCCCTACCCCAGCTACCCCAAAGATTTTACACAACCTCCTGGAATGGTTTAGCCTTCAACCTCTGAGAAACCCAGGAGCGAACATTTTCCAGGACCTTTCTTTCTACTGTTTAATATTACAGAAATAGTACCTTTCTTTTTTCTTCCTAACTATAAAATTATATAATTACATTGAATAAATTTTTTCAAACCACAAATACTCTAATGAAGATTCTAATGTATTCTATCCTGTCCCTGAATATCAGGGTAGGTCTCCTCAATATCAGTTGAGAATTATTGGTCTGGTCTAACACTCTTACTTCACAGATGAGAAAAATTGAAGCCACAAATTAAGTGATTTGCCTAAGTTTACAAAATTAATAAAAACCTGAAATTGATTATATGTTATATCAACTTACCTTAATCAATTTGAAAAGTATATTCCAATATTTTTGAAAGACAATGAATATGATAAAAAATAATTTCTACCTGTATTAGTGCATTTTCACACTGTTATGAAGAACTGCCTGAGACTGGGTGAATTATTAAGAAAATAGGCTTAACTGACTCACAGTTCTGCATGGCTGGGGAGGGCTCAGGAAATTTACAATCATGGTAGAAGGCGAAAGGGAAGCAAGGCATGTCTTACATGGTGGCAGGAGAGAGAGAGAAGGGAAGCACCACACTTTTAAACCATCAGATCTTATGAGAACTCACTCACTATCATGAGAATAGCATGGGGGAAATCTTCCATGATCTAATCATCTCCCACCAGGTCCCTCCCGTGACATATGGGGATTAAAATTCCACATGAGATTTGGATGGGGACACAGAGCCAAACCATATCACTGCCCCAAATGATAAAATGGAACAAATTTCCTATAATATAATTATATTCTGTCTGTTAAGTTTCTATGGTCCGCCTTTCACATAACCTCTTGTAAGGAGTAGGGCATAATCCTTGCCTTCAAGGGGTTTATGGTCTAGTTGGTACAACAGACGAATAAATGAATTACTTCAATTTATGAAGCAGATTTAATGAAGGGGGGAAAACAGTGATGTTCAAGCAGAGAAGAGAGTGATCCAACCAACGTTAGTGGTCAGGAAGATTCTTGAAGCAGTCCTCTTACCTCTACAAGACGAATGTTCCTGAAACAGAACCTATAACTGTTTCATCCTAGTGACCTATGGTGTCTGCTACTATACCTGGTTTATTTACCCTTAAAAAATATTGCTTTCACTTTTGCATGACAGTTTTCTTACACAATACTATAGCCAAATAGTTTTTAGAACTTTGCAAACACCTATATGATTGCACTCAATGCTATTTCTTTTCAATTTTTTAAGTACTTGAATAAAATTTATTAAACCATAGGATATGCAAAAAAAGAAAAAAACTCTTGTTTTTCTATTCAAAAGGGAATTTTTTCTTCACTTTCTCTTCTGTTTTGACTTAGGGGAACTTGACTCTGTGTGTTTTGTACAAGTAAAAATAAAAACAGAATTCCACCAATTAAATGATATAAAGGAATAGAACAATTAAAAAAATAATAAAAACAGACTCATCTTTAAAATATTCAGTAAGATAGATAGCCTGAATTATTTTACTTATAATACAGAGCAAGAATTGAAAAGTTTTAAGGACATGTTCTTACAAGGTCTATAATTTGCTCACCCTCGACTGTCTCTGACTCCAACTTCCTTACCTCCTCCCTTCTCCATTGGCTTAAGCACTGGCCTGGACAAGCAGTGTGCCAACACTGCCTTTTTCTCAGAATACAAGAATTGTGCCACCCACAGTCCCATGGCTGGAGGCCAGGGCACTGCCAGCAACACAGACATGAGTCAGGCCGTGGCTTGTATAAGAATTCCTGGTCTAGGTTCTTTCCTGACAGTTCACTTGGAATTGCCACCATTGACAGTATAATGGCAAGAAGTATGTGATAGAAAAGTATGTAGTAAGGCAAGTCAGGAAACTTGACTCCCAGTCTTGATACTTTCTGGAGGTGTGACTATTAGCATTTCTCCTAATCTGCTCTGTCTATCTCATAGAATTATTGT